GCAAATCAAGACCTAAATTCTGATTTTACATCAGAATAAAAAAGAGATCAAAAGGAGATCATGCAAAGCAAAACTTTAAATCCTCATGGAACCCACACTTTCTAAAGTCATGAAGGTTAGAAAACACTTGAAACTACTACCCTAAAAATAATCTTTACACCTCAAACCAACTACAATTTCTGGAATAGTCTTCAAAACTATGCATCAGTTTAACAACAAGAAAAGAAATATCAGCCATAAGAGTGTGAGGGGTTTTTTTTTAAAAAAAATCTACCTGTACAGAGTCAAACTGACAGTTAAAAAATCTCAAAATAATAGATAGGAAACTTAGAGGACAATGAATTTATTTTAATAGGGAGGGAGTACTCAGAAATGTGTGCGAATGATTGCACAACTCAAAACATATAATCAATACTATTAAATTTTACATGCAGAAATATGAATTAGTGTATGTTTTCCCCCATGTATATCCTCAATAATAAAATAAATTCCCTTTAAAAATAGTGCATTAAATCCATTTCCAATTCTACCATCTGTGGTTCAGTGGATCATGATATAAGGGAAAGAACAGGGACTTGACATCAGGCAGAACTGGGAACAAAAGATAGGAAAGGATATATTTTTTTTTTAACTTAGTCACTTCAAATATAGATTCTGAAAGCTTAAACAAATTACTCAATTCTAGCCCAAATCTTTCCAATTTGTCAAAAAGGAAAAGTATAGCTACTTCATTATACTATTATTAGAACTAAAGTAGAAAATATATCAAAACCACCAAGCATATTTGTTGATCCTAACAAGTACTCTAAGTACTTGTATTTTCCTCTTGCTCTGATGCCATGTATCTTTCTCATCCTCCTACTCATGATCTAAAATGTTTTGCTTCATATTATGGAAATTTCCACATTACTACAAAAGTGGGCAGAACAGTAAAATGAACCTTCTACATTCTCATCCCACTGCATTTCTATGCTCTACCACCTCCCTTCTGTCTCTCCACCTCTCTAACTCAGATTACTTTGAAAGGTACTTCCAAGTGATTAAGATCCCATTCCTTTTATTCTTGTTCTTTGTGAGGCAAGCATTAAAGAATGGGGAAAGTCCAGGGCCCATAAGACCTATCAGGACTCCAATGTTACACGCAGGATTAGTACTGAGATAATCTAACGCAGGCTCCTGAGGCTTTTACTGAGACAAGGTACATAATGTTTTGCCATGCAGCATAATATCTATATCTCTAATTTTGCTCAGGCTACCAAGTTTGCCTTCAATTTCCTTATGTGTAAAATGAGCTAAGAAAAGCTTTCTCACAGGGCTGTGGTGAGTACAAATGAGAAAAAAGTACAGAAAGCGCATAACACAGGGCTTGTCACATTGCTTGCCTGATTAATGCAGTCTATTATTATCTGCCTATTTGGTCTTTCACAAGGTCTCATATACATTTAACTTTCCATGTTGAAACATTCATTATGAGCATGAATGCTACACCCTTTTTACTTGCTCTCTCAGGATTACAATCACATGAAAACAAGCTGAGCTCCTAATCTAATAAAATAACCAAAAGTGTATGTCTTGATGGATGAAAAGTAAAAAGCAGCCACAAAAGAGAGCTCTACTTGATTTTAGAGGAAGGAAAAAAATTGGTGGATATAGTCTAGTTACTTAGTAACTAGCAAAAGTTTAAAGTAGGTCGGAATGCATAGGCAGTGTGATTGAAGAGTTCATGATAATGAAAGAGCAGTTATTGATGACTGCTCTTCACCAGGAATACTGACAGGCACCGTATGCATTTAATCCAGCGCAGCCATTGAGCGTGCAGATTCTGGAACACAGGTGGCCTTGGCGTGACATTAGAAGGGGTCTCACGTTTGCATTCCCCATCTATTTTCCATTTATGTGAAACCTGTTGAATGTATTGACTTCTTTTTGTCCTATTTTTTCTCACATGTCAAATGTAGATAACAGTTTCTTATCCAAATGATATTAAGAATGGCTCTGATAGCATAGTATGTTCCAGGATGCACTATTAACCAAAAGGTCAGCTGTTCAAATTCGCCAGCTGCTCCATGAGAGGAAAAAAATGGGCGGTGCATCATTGGAAACATTATACCCTGGACTGTTAACCTAGAGGACGCAATTCGAACCCCCATGCTGCTCTGCAGAGAAAATAACTGTGGCATGCTTTTGTAAAGATTTACAGTCTCAGAAACAATATGCATCAGTTTTACTCTGGTGCTATAAAGGGTCTATGCGTCGGAACCATTTAAAGAGGTGTCAGTTTCACAAAATATTAGAAAATATTAATATAAAGCTGGTATACAATTTAGAATGGTGTCTGGCATACAATAAGTTCTCAATAAATGTTAGTTTTTTATATTATTTATATAAATGTCATAATCTATATGACATGCTTAATACAGTCTAGAATACAGCGTTATGTTTTGTTTAGTCCTGTCTGTGATTCAGTTTTCCCTAGCTAGCTACTGGACTCTGAATTTTATGGCCACCAGAGGGTGCTATGAGGACAGGATCGCTCCTCATTCAAAGTTGCTTTTCAAGCAGCAAAGAATGGTAGTTCTGGTTTGGGGTACTGTTCTGGCTAGGAGTGTCCTTTGCTCCTGAACTTGATTTACATGCATGCCTTTCCAGAAGCCTGTGTTACCCTTTTATTATTTAGTAAGATTTAATATTTTCATCATTTCTGCCCTATTGATTCTAATCCACAGAAATTCTCCAGGACTGAGAACTGTCTCCCAAAGGCTTTCTAAAAACTGCCCTCTTTACAGAAGCACAATTCCAAACCTTTCTTTCATGAAGCAGCTGGTGATTGTGAACCACTGTCCTCTCTGGTAGTTAAGTACTTCATCACTGTGCCACCAGAACTTACTTTATCTGATTCTAGTTTAAATTAGGTATGAAAATGGGAATTATTTGGTACTGATTGAAATATGGTTTTAATAAAAGTCTTCTTCAGTAATAAAAAAAAAACAGTAAATGTGCATAGACTTTATCAAAATCATTGTTGTCATTGTTGTGGTAACGTGCCATCAAGTTGCCTGTGATTCATAGCAACCCTGTGTAGAGCAGTGGAAACATTGCTCTATCCTGTGCCAATCTTACTGTCTCTGACACACCTATCCCCATTACTCTGGTCACTGAATCAATTCATCTCATCCAGGGTCTTCTTCTCTTGCACTGTCCCTCCACCCTCTCAAACATGATCTCTCTCTCCAAGGGCTGGTCCCTCCTTACATAATGTCCAAAGTATGTCACAAGAAGCTTCAGAATCCTTGACTCCAAGGAGCAGCCTGGTCTCACCCTCTCTAGGTTGAATGTGTTCGTTCTCCTAGCAGTCCATGGTATATTCAATACTCTTCTCCAGCACCATAGCTCAAAGGCATCAATTTTCCTTTCATCATCCCTAGTCACTGTCCAGCTTTTTGATGCATAGCAAGTAATTGTGAAGACTATGGCCTGGATAGGTGCACCTTACATTCATAAAACAGTAGAACTGTTAGGTAATTAAATGAAAATCAATGCTCTAGAGCCAAGGAACATACTCATCTGCCTGTGTGGGAAGAAATAAAAGTGAGAAAGAGGAAGATGGGATGACTTATTAAAAGGAACTGGTATTCAAGAGTGTTAATTTTACTTTTTTAGTTAGTGAATCAAAACATATTTTCATGATGCAAAATTTCTATTTGAAGTGAAAGAATATTAATTTTCTTGTTTTCATAAAATAATGCCAAGTATTACATTTTACTGTCTCAGGTAAAATATCATGAGTTATATGAGCCCATTTTCTGTAAAGGACTTTCCATCTTTTTGTTGTTATTGTTTCTCTTTCCATATATTTAGCCATAAACATAAACTTCATTACATTCCCCGTCTGAGATCTAGACTGACATGCACCAGCTATCGATACAGGCAAATATGAAATATTTATTTCCAGGTGCTCTTCTTCTGACACCAGATGTACTATCATATCATTTTTCCCTAGTAACAAATCATAACACAATGAAAGCAGAAGATGATATGAAAACCTAGCATCTGTCTAATAAATCAGGCATTGAAGGTATTTAAAAAACAAAATCTGTCACCATGTAGAGAATTTTTACTGGCAGTTCAAAACAAACATAAAATTTCTACTGTTTGAAATTATAATTGGTTCTTATTCCTAATAATTACAATAGTAAATATTGAAAATATGACTCAAATATATGGAAGCTCTTTGCCCCCGGAGTTTGAGAACCTGTGTTCCAATGATTCCTAGGTTTATATCCCTGAATGAAATTTCTGTGATGAACAGCAGTTCATGTGAGCATGGCCCGTAAACAACTTACAGTAAAAATATCCCAAAGAGAACATGTGACTCCTTCCCAAACTGGCACCTTTTCTTTCTCCACTTTTCTCCATTTCAGTAATTGCGTTATAATTCCCAACTCTAGGAATCATTATTGATTGCTTTTATCTATTGCCCCTCACCCTCAATCTATTGCAACTTTCACTGTCATCATCTTTAAAATGCATTCCAAAATAACTTCTTACAACCTTAACAAGTACGATACCAAGCCCTGGCACAATTCCTCCAATGGGTAGGTGTAGAAAAGTACAACTGTCTGCCCTGTTGTTTTTCATACCATCATCATCATATGTTTTTCATAACACCATCATCACTATGTAGATATCAATAGAATTCAAATACTTTGCATAATACATTGTTACTAGCTGTTTTTACTTATTTTAAGTGTAATGCTTCCGGAATTATATTCATTATTCTATAACAAATTATAAAGATCTGACGTTTCAACTGGAGATGGTATAACACATGACATGCAGTACTTCTCAAAAAGTATCTAAACACAGATCTTTAAATATTATCAGGAGTTTCCAAGTAAATATTTGAACTTTTTATATGACTCAGATTGTTTAAAATTTTAGACAGTGGATTGAATGACAAGATCTATATTTGCTGTTTATTAGGTGCATAGTCAACTTACCTTATCTAGTTCATCTGAAATTGCAATACCTGGATTCAAAAAGAGTATGAAAAACAAGTTTTAGAAGCAATTACCAACCTATTACTATTTAAAAAAAATATCATTGGAAAACAAATATTCCTCATTCTATCTTTCTTTTTTATTAATGTTTCAAAAGAGCATGGAACATCTTTTCTAGTTACATCTTTTAATAATAAAACTAAATTGAGAATTTAAGTAAATGCTGACAACAATGAATATCTGACACAATGCAATGATGTAATGAAAAAACAGACCGCCTAATAAATAAACAGACTGCTTGCAAACTGTGAAAGTCAGTGGATGCTTAGAAAGGCAAACGCAGAGGTGGCAGGCACACTACAGCTGCACTGTTTCAGTGGTAAACAAATACTGCTAACTTAGTGTGCTGCAATTTATACCCCTTTAACCATCAATTTAGACTCCTACAAAGGTAAACATACAATGAAATGTGTGAGAATAAACACTTAGTTTTTTCAGGGTCTCACAAGTTTTCTGCCTGTGACAGAGGGCAGCCCTCAGCTGTTCACAGTTTGTTTTCGTGGAAAATAGATTCTTTTTTGGACAGGTTTTTGCCTGATACAGGTTGCAGCTTTTTTTTTTTATATTTGTACAAATATGTTTATTAAGTCCTTTTTTAAAATGTAAAAACAAATGAGAAAGCATTATGGAAGATAATTTACATTAGTTTATATTCAGAGGCTTAGATGTTAGGATTCCAACACGTATTTGAATTCATAACACTGCATATGCCAAGTATAACTAGGAAATAGACAACTGTGAGAAGTGACATAATTTGATGCCTTTTCTTGAGGTTTTTGATAGGAGAAACCAGAGAGAGTAGAAAGGAGAGCCAGTAAGCCTAAGCCACTCATTGTTGAGATACAAGAAGCCATACTAAAGAGCATCTAAAAGGGAATGCAGGAATGACGCAGCAGATGTGGTAGGGGATGATAGACCACATCAGGAGGCAGACAGAGTTACAACACAAACTGCAGAAGCAGGCAGCACAAAGGAGCTAGTGGAGGAAACAGAGTAGAGATGATCTTACGACTCAACCTTGTTGAACTATCAATCTATCTTTGTCCTCTGAACAACTACAACAGTCTCAGGATTGCCTGTTTGACTGCCAGAGTCCCCTGGTGGCATAATGGTTATGTCTTCAACTACTAACTGAAAAGACATTGGTTTAACCTGTCTAGAAATTAAGCTCTGGTGGCCTAGTGGTAAGAAGTTGTGCTGCAATCCTGAAGGCATGCAGTTCAAATCCACCAGAAACTCCTGTGTGATTAACTGCCTTTGAAAACTTGCCGGAGGGTCAGCTATGTGTTGGTTCCGACTCAATGGTAAGCAACTACAACAACTTAGAAGTTTATCCAAAGAAGGTTCTGGTTATCTTCTTCCAAAACGTCACAACTTCGGATCTTATGAAGTCCTGATCTACCCTGTACACACAGAGTTAACTCCATGTCAACCATGGAGTCATGCCAACCATGACTCCAAACATGTCAACCCTGATTCTTCTCCTGTGCTGTCCCTCCACCCTTCCGAGCATGATGTCCTTCTCCAGGGACTGGTCCCTCCTGGCCATGTGCCCCAAGCATGTGAACCATAGCTTCAAAATCCTAGCTTCCAAGGAGAAACTTGGTTTCATCCTCTTCAAAACAGACCTGTTTGTTTGTTGTCTTGGTAGTTCAATACTCCTCCAGCACCAAAACTCATAGGCATTGATTCTGAGGTGTCTAGTTGGTGTGTCTCCCACTTTGGATTCTCAGCTTGCTAGAGTTCTGACTTTATTTTTTTTTATTATTAAATTTTATTAGTTTCAATGAACACTCACAGGGTGCAGCTTTAGGGGCAATCATTATTTAATTTAATAATATAGTAACACTGAGGAGTCAGAGAAAACATTTTTTTAAAAATAATGATATTTAAAAAAGAGGAAACAGATGAGAGTGCTTTAGTAATCTAGCCCACAAATTAGTTTAGAATGAAAGATTACAGAGCTAGTGGATAAATGATTCTTCCTAAAAAGTTCCTCTTCCCGTCATTTACTCATCCTCTACTGTACATCACGCAGTGTGCTGTCCTTACCATTACAAAAAAACTGATCTAAGTCAGTAAACATATTTTGGCCCTTATGTTATTTTCCTATTTGTTACTAGCATTCACTACTCAGATAATCACTTCTTTTTTTTTCTTTTCTTTGCCAGTGATTCCTTATTTTATTTTTTCAACTTTTCCTTTCAGGATTATGGACTGTGCTACCTCTCCTTTTCACCAGGTATCTATGTATTGATAGAGAGATAGAGATAGATATAAATTCCCTTTAATAATCTAACTATCCCATTGATACTTTTAAGTCTATATTCTCTGTCCCCAGTGTAGACCTTCATCCTGAACTAGCAGCTGAATTCTTCTGGGCATTTCACTGTCAACATGTCAGAATAATGTCAGCCTCCTCCTCTCTCTCACTTCTCTTTCCTGAACAGCAGTTTGCCTCGGGCTCAGCATGGACATTGTGGTTGGCCATCTAAATAGACACGGCCAGCTCTCAGGTATGTGGAAAAAAGGAAAGGGAAGCTGGCTTCAATTCCCTAGTGGGGGATGGCCAAGGGGCAAGCACTGGTCTAGAGGAGCACAGGAGACAGAACAATAGGATTTACAGCTAACGTTCAACAGACTATAAAAAGCTAAAGAAGAGTTCATCTGAGTTAAAAAATAAGAATGATAAAATAGTCTTAAAGTCTTCTAAACTGCTGGCATACATATTTCTTTTTATTATTATTGTTTTAGTGCTTGCTGTGTGCTGCCGAATCAGATCTGACAGGCACAGGAGAAGATTGCCCCGCCTTCTGCGGAACATCTGGTGGATTCGAATCATGCGCCTTTGGGATTGCAGGGCAGCTTCTTGCCACTAGGCCACCAGACCTCCCTTAGTATACATATTTCTTAACATTTACATGTTTTGATAACGTGGCTTGAGAAATTAAATAAATCCCCACTCTATTGTATATAACTCCACTTGCTATTATCAAATGTCAAACTGCCTACGGTATTTCTCATTATTTTTCTTTTTTTTTTTCAATTAAAGCTTCAACTGATTAAAAACATGCTAAGGAATCTTAATGAAACACTTCTTTCTGAAGTAAGATTGTCTAATGGGAGCCATTTATATTCTGTAGCCAGGATATTTCTCTTAGTCTAATAAAAAGTTTCCCAGCTCATGCCTCAGAGAAAATGAACCACATTTAGGCACCTCATTACTCCATAAAAGATAACGTTTCACTCAGCAGAATACGTTCAAGGTTCATCCACGGTGTAGCATATATCAAGCCTTCAGTTTAACATAGTAATATTCCATAAATAAACCATAAACCACATTTTGTTTATCCATACATTTATTGAAACTATGTAGATTATTTCCATCTTTGACTTACTGTGAACAGTTCCACAATGCACACCTATATACAAGTATTTCTTTGTGCAGTCTCTTTCAAATCTTTTGAGTATATATCTAGAAGTACAGTTGCTAACTTGTGTAGTAAATTCCTCACTTAACTCTGGAGCAACAGCTAGTGTATTTTCCATAGTGGTTTCATTATTTCAAAATCTCACCAGAAAGGGAGCTCTGGTGGCCTAGTGGAAAGATACTGCACTGCAATCCCAAAATCTCACCAGAAATGGAGGCAGGTTTCTACTTCTTCATAGTCTTTCCAACATCTGTTGTTTTCCTTTTTTGTTTGTTTTGAAGCAATGTCTTACTGTTATGATTTGTATTTTTCTGATGAAACTGGGCATCTTTTCATGTCCTTCTTTGTTACCTAATTATTTTTTCTGATGACATATTGTTCAAGTCCCTGGACCTTTTTTTAGAAAAATAGTTTTCATTTTGTTGTTAGTCTACTGACTGAATCCAAAACCTGGATTTCGTATCTATCATAAACAATGCTAATTTGTTACTATCATACTTTAGCTAATAAAATATTATTACGCTTTAGTTTTTGTTAATCATAATATTTCTATTGGATTACTAATAAACTCTTTTGTCAAACTACAACATTCAAGTATATATGTCTAATATTCATTAGAGTCTATAAATTTCTAAGTACTTAAGAGTTTGTAGGAAATACAATCAATGAGTCTATTGAGAGTATGGATCTTGGGTTTAGTTTTTAATGATAGTTTTCTCTACTTTGTAAGTATATTAATTCTCTATGATTTCATCCCAAACCAGTAAATATTGGTGCTAACTCATAACAACCCTCCATTATATCCAAGGCTGACAACTGTAGTGGGTCCAATTGCCCATCCTTTTCCCTTGGGGCAGCTGGTGGATTCAAACCTCCTGAGATGCACAGTCTTTAGATAAACAGCACAACTTGCTATCGACTATGCCACAGAGCGCCCTGCTGTGTCAACAGCATGAAATAACTTATACAGGCATTTAGTCTACTACCTAGCCCAAACCACATGGTTAACAAATGCGCAGTACTGTTATTACCACGTCTATCTCATGAGTGATAAATCTAGTTAGCTGGATGTTGTTTTTGTATTAAAAAACTGTGGTTGCCTCCAACTTATCATACAAATCTTTTTTACTTTACTTTGCCTTGTTTCTTTGCCTTCAAGAGACAAAGGTCTAAGAGTGTTCCTTGAGAGCAGATTCATGAGCCCATTTAATATAGTGAAACAGGACTTGGAGGAGAAGCAGATGATGACGGTCAACAGAGGACCTTATAGGTCCTTATAGGTCAGGCCCACTAACAGGCTAACTCAGTAGTCCTCATTGATTTATGAAAGATAAATTCAGGGAGAATTCTCCTTTTGTTAACAACAGCTTAGGAGGAAATGTCCACTATTTTAAGCAAGTTATATAAGTTAATAAAATATAAAATCTGGGAGGAAGTGTCCTCATGTTTTAGTCTAGTTAAAATTTTTAAAGATTACAGAAATTGGGAAGCAGTGATGAGCGGAAAAATATGCAAGATAAAATGCAGTGGATGTTATA